AAAATTATAATATTAAAACTTAAGAGTTGGAACGAGTTTACCGAATTGACGAACAACTTGTTGGAAATTGATTATCGTTGAAGACTTCAATTCACCAACTTCACAATTGTTTCACAAATTGTAACAATAAAGTAAGCAATAGTAGCAATTATAGAAGTAAATTAGAGAGAGATTGTGATAGATTGATGATTTTGTAAGAAAAAATAAAATAATGATGGGGTATTTATAGTTGAAAATAGGAAAAAAGTGTAATTATAAAAAGTTTGGGATTAAAACAAAGTTGAGGGGTTAAATGGCTATTTCATAAATAGCCAATGGCTATTTTTGATAGCCCAACGACTATTTTTTTTTTTAAAACCCGCTACGGTCCCGGGCCTAGCGGGCCCAAATCATAGGACCGGCCCACAAGACCGGACCAGGCCCGCTAAAATCGGACCAAACGGTCCTGACCCGTTTAACCGTTTGGCCCGCGGTCCTGGGCCGGTCCCGGGCCTGGACCGGCCCACTTGCCAGCCTTAATGGTAGATGTCATATAGCTGATGCCTATTACACTTAATTTAAGATTTATGAGATCTCTTTAGGTAATCTCACTTCCCTTTTTCTTTTCTCTATCCACAAATATCATGATATGTTTACACGGTTTACTCTTGCGATGGGATCTTACATCACTTGTACTGTAAAATGAATCCTTTGCTCCACCATAGTAGGTGTCACTAGCGTGGTTTCTGTCCGTCGAAACCTGCCTGTGCGGCAGCCAAGTCGCTCACTTGACTTCAGCCATCTCACAACACTCGGCCAAAATTACAGCAACTTTGGACTTAGAATTATTTCGGACAGCTTCAACGTAGTAAGTCGTTTGAACTGATTTAGGCAACGGATTGAAAGTAAGGCAATGGTAAATTGACAAGAACACAAGGCACAATTTACAGGAATTTCTTCCCAAGTTTGTATTTAACTCGAGCATACAAAGAAACTCAAACTCAAGTACAACCATGTACAAAAATAAAGATCACTCTTGACCCTCAGATTTTCTCTCAAAGACTACTCTTAGCCTTAGGTGTTTTCACTCTTGAAAACAGACTTAGGAACTCTTTCCTAAGATAAACATGCACTCTTACATGTTTTTAGGACTCTTTTTAAGACTACTCTTAGTCTTAGATCTCAAGACTCCTCTCTCTTGTCTCTTGGTCACGAAATGCCCCATATATATAGATATATGGGTAGTCACTGGCAGATTTGAAGGGACAACTTACAAAGGGGCAGATCCATTCTAGTGCTTTTCTCAGTCAAGGCACTAAACAAGCACTTAACCATTTAATGGGGCACTCACCCACGAAATGGCCCTCTTCAGCACTTAGCTCTGTTTTGTGGAGCACTCAGCCCTTTGGTGGATCATTGGTCCCACCATCCACTGAAACAAGTCTGTCACACAGCATTGCTAAATCTGTCCTAACTTGTAGTTGACATCCCCCAACTACTTAGGCATTTTTCCACACGAAATAATAGATACAAGCACTACACAGACATGGGTACAAGTCATTACAAAAACATAAACGCCCACTACTTTGGCATATGCACTACATGTGCTCGTTTCACTTGGTCCGCTATTGCACGCCCTAGCATTGGCACCTTTTGACATTGCTCCGCACCAATGCCTTGTCCGCAACCTGGTGCCCATGATTTTGCCGCACACGCCCGACACTCTTGTCGCACGCACATTGCCTTTGTCGCGTTTCTGTCTTGTCTTTGTCAATACTTTTCTTACCTATGCCATTGCTTGTCTTTTGCCTCACATAGCCTTGTCTTAGCTATTGAGACTTCTCGCCATCATTCCGCGCTACCATGATTTAGCTTAGCCTATACTTGGCGCTACCATAAACCGAATTGCCCGGACCTTTGTCTTTGGCGCGCATGCCGACCAATTTGCCCACACTGCCTTGTCAAGCCTTTGCCAAGCATGTCTTGCCTGCCTCAAGACCTTGGCCATTGCTTGCCCATTTCTCTTTTGCCTTGGTGCTAGCTCGCGCACCTTAGCTTAGCAACACTCTTGCTGCCTTGACAACGCTCTCGTTGCCAACTCAATCCCAAAGAGGCGGAGGGCTAACAGTAGGTCTCTTCCTTTCCATTATCCCACTTGAATGTCACTCAAATCTCTTGCTCGATGTTGCCACACAAATAGCTTTCTACCAGTGAGAGAAGCTTAAAGGTCTTTAAACTTCATCGCGACATAATAAATATGCTTGGTTTTCTAAAGACTCACTACTGTGGTGAATCTTCACTGGGCTGAAATCGTCGAACCGCTCTTACCTTCAGGCTCTCCTGAAGGTAAAGTCTATCACAGCAATAGACTATTCAGTTTACACCAAAAAACAAACTAAATTCAAACACTTATTTTGTCAGCCACAGTGGCATCTGCTTTTCTTCAAAAATACTGCTATTTCTTTCCTTTTATAATACCCACAGCATACATACTGGGACTAGGTTCTAGCATCCTTCCTAAGAGGTCTTTCATTGTCCATGTAATGAATCTAGAAATGGTATTCTCGCAAAATGATATTCAAACCTTACATTTTCATAATAAAAACATGAATAATAGAATAGAAATCACAACATTTAAAGAAAGCTTTCTTACATGATGATCAGATAATACACACTACTACTTAGACATGAAGAACTACTAACAACTCCTTGAATGCTGACAAGTAACCTTGTTTAACAGCTACAAACCAGTTTCAAAAATCAAACATAAAGTAACAGCTTTAATAAAAATAAAAATCTGTTAGGTATGTGGCAATTGATTCAAATGATAGGGGCCAAAGGTTATCAATAAGAACAGACAATTGAAGCGTGCAGAGAGGATCTTGGAAAGCTCAGGAACTCCTGTTCCATTTTAACATAATCCCGAGACGCATCACTCCCTTCTAATATGGCAGCAATGACAAACTTTTCTAGCACTGTTGCATTCTGGAGCAAATATTTTACCAATGGCAGTACAAACTTATTTTTACTTAGTGGTCCATAAAAGTTGATGAACTTGATGGTCTTGAGATGCAGCAATGAGCAGTTAAAATTATGTGTCTCAAACCTCCTCCTCTCTTCATCCTCATCCGTGTACAGTGACAGCAGTTTCTGCAGGAAAAAATTCGCTAATATTAGCGAGTTTTTCTCCTTAGATGGAACTAGAAAGCCAAGGAGTTAATTGTGGATAAAATAAAAAAGGTGATGAAACTTTTTATCTAGGGAACAAGTCAAGCGCTTAGCACATGTTACAAAGTGGTACACGCAAACAACAAAAAAATGTTTCAAAGCTTCATTGAAGCTGATCTAGAGGCGAAGCCAGGAATCTTCCCGAGCATGTTCAAACTTGAAAAAAGTGGGGAAAAAAAATCTCCGGCAAAGGGTATTCCATATATGTTATATACCTCTAAAACTTAATATTTTATGTACATACACAGTGTATATTTTCGACAAAAGGTGGTCAATTGACCACCCTTCTGACAATGTAGCTTCGCCCATGAGCTGATCTTTTATCTCCTCCCATGAAGGTGAGCAATATTCCTTGTTAAACATCTTTTTCCCACAACTACAACAACAAAATGACTGTAGAACTGGCTTACTCATATAATCAATTTTGATAATGGCAACATGAAATTTCTGTCAAAGCAACTCAAGCTGAACTATTTTCTAGAGGAAAATAAATTGAGAGAACAACCCTTGAAATATCTTACACAAAAACAGAATAATAAGCACGCCGCTGCAGCAGATTCAGCAAAGAGAAACCATCAACTTTCAAGATTAAAACAG